GGTTAGACCGGGTTAGGAGAATCTAACATAGCTAACACTCCATGAGAACAAACTGAATACAACAGAATTAAGTTCGACTACGTAGCAGAAGCCAATTATAAGAACAATCAAGGAATCAGCCATGCTTTATTTAAATTATCTTGAATGGCGTACCTCTAATTCAGAAGTGTAGCAGCTCTCATAAGCTTTTAATTCTAATATGTAGATTTAGCCAAGCCTAAAGGCAGAGCTCCTGATTACAGTAAGTTACCGTAGCCTGAGCCTGAGCCGTAGCCAATCGAAAAGCTGTACCTGGGCAGCGTTCAACTAGAAAACGCGCGAGCTCGATGAGCTCTGAACATGAGCCAGCGATGTGGTCACTTGATAATGGTCAGCGGATACCTTGTTTTGACAGGTGTCTATTGAACATAGCATGAATGCCCAATATTAAAGATGTACGCTGTAAACCCGCCACTCCTCATCTCTAAGGAAAAGCCTTGAGAACTAGTGTTGCAGAGTAACATTTCACATTGATTTACATGACGGGGCGTACGTACGGACGTACGTTCTTACGTAGGAACAGTCACGTGACAACCAATTCTTTTTTTAGATCGATGGGTTACTAAATTTGCTAAGGTATGGGACTCCCGTCGTCACTGGGTCGTGCGCGTTCGGCGCGAGGGAGCTCCGCCATTAGTTGTCATAGTGTCTGTTATATGTGGTGCTTGTTCAATTTTTTACATGTTGTATTATAGGCGGTGATTTTTTTTTTATATGCGGCGTTCATTGGATTCTACCTGGTATCGTTTTCATTATACTTGGTAAATTATAAAGCACCAAGTATAATGAAAATTACAGCCAAATGTATGGAAAATTAGAAAAATTAGCTCAGCGTCTTCTAGCCAGGCTACATCCTTAAAGTTAGTGATCTTCTACCTGGTATTTTAACGTTGCGATTCACAAATTGTGTAAAATTCAATTTTGGAAAACGTTTTTAGCCATCGGATTCCCATACAAACACTGTAATTTGTGACCCCCTTTGCCTACCCGTCGAGATGGCGTTGACAAACGTGATAAGGTCTATTATGGGTGAACGCAGAGTGAACGTACCTTCGCCATATTTTTTTTTTCCTGCAGAGGATTGCGTGACGTATTGCAGCCGTTGGCCAGTTGTATCTTTCGTGAAAGGTTGATACGTCATGTAACTAAAGCACCGTAGCCAACGTAATGTCGTCCGAGATTTGAGCCACAAAGTGATCAATTTTTCGCTTGTCTACGGATATGCTGACTTGTGCAAGGTTGAGAAGCAAAGTCCTTTTCAGTCCGCTGTCATCAGCGTACCAGGTACGATTTATGCGGTCGATTTCAGTGATAGAAAGACAGCCGTGTCGTTTCACACGGACCGATTTCAACATAAGCTTAACAAATTTTGGCTCCTCTCTGCAAAGACATCCAAGCGATTTCGCTGTTACAGTATAAAGTATTTAAGAGACTAAATGTATTTCCTATAATACTGCTTTGAAACATATTGTAAGCCTATGTAAGCTTGAACTAATAACGAATCGAAATGGTTGTTAAGCCTTAAGGCGTTAGATTGCCATATTTTCTTTTTTTTTTTTTTTTACTATTTTTAACACTCCGCACTCCCCGTTTTTGGAACAGCCTTCAGATAACGCCTTGTCATAAAAATACACCTGTCATCACTTTTTTGNTTTTTTTTTTTTTTTTTTTTAATGATAAGCTTATATTTGTTTCTTTCTGGAGGACCTTCTTATTAGAAGATTCACCTGGCTAAGAAACAGTTTTAACCATTGACGTGGATATGACTTGTGTCAGTCCCAAGCTCGAAATCCCTCGGAGAGGGGGAGGGGTGATAGTGTGTGCGTGTGGCAGCTGTTAGGGGGAGGGGAGGGTGAGTGGATGGCAACAGGCTCATTTCAGTCTGTATTTTCCAAATTGTTTTTTTGCGTCTGTGCTAAAACGAGTCTTATTACAAAACCATTCATATGAAAATGTGTTCCACCTACAGGTTCAGTAAATGTGTAAATCAAACTCATTTTCACATGCAAGGTTCTGCACACAGACTCGTTTCAAGGAGAGAGAGACAAGGAAACTCAGAAATGACCTAATGACCCTTTCTTTATCTGTTATGAGGAAAGACCTCCTCAGTTAAAGCTGCTTTTCTGACCTTGAGATAAAAAAATATAACCTTTTCCAAGGCATAAGATGTTACTATATGGTTTTTCATTACCTGTCAGTTTTCTTAATTGTTATTATTAGTATTATTATGATTATTATTATTATTATTATTATTATTATTAATTTTTTTAAATTTAATTTTCCTTTTTTTTGACAAAATTTTGTTTACCTTTTCACCATCCATTT